TATATATATATATTAATTATAACATATATTATAATAATTCAAGAAAATTAAATAACAAAATAATATTTTTAAAAATAGTTAATAAAATAAAATAAACTTTAAAATATTATAATAAAATTCTTAAAACAAAAATAAAAAAAGTTTAAAAAGATATTTTTTTTTAAATATATTTTTTTATTATTATTAATATAATGAATATTATTATTTTTATTATTATATTTATTATTATTATTATTATTATAATTTTTTTTTAATATAATAAATTTATATTATTATTATTCTTTATATCTATTTTTATTTTTTCTTAATGTTTTATTTTTTATACATATAAATTTTTTAATTTGTTTTATTTTTTTAAAATTTAAAAGTATCAAATATATTTATTTTTTTATATCCAATTTTTATTATTATATATTCAAATATTATATTTTTTATTAATATATTATTCCCATTAGTTCTCATTTATTTATTATGCTTCATTCCACATATCACTTATTAAAACAGAATTTCCTTAATGATTAGGTGGAAGCTATTTTTTTATTCTAGTTGCTTTATTAAAAAATTACATTTTTAATTTATACAATTCTGAAGTACTTTTATATTTTTTATTTATTTCAAAGTCATTTTAATTAAAATTACTTTTTATATTTTCTTCAGTATTACAAATAGTTTATTAAAATGTAAAATTAAAAAAATCTTCTTTATTTTTCTCTTATTATTATTGCGTATTCAATTTTTATTAAATTTTTATAGATTCATATGCTTTTTATATTTAAACTTAATTATTATGGTATTAAGGAATATTTTCTTTATCTAAATCTTTTTTAATGAAAATAATTTAATTTTCTTTTACTATATAAGGTTTTTCATTTTCTTGGTTATTTTTGAATTAAATTATTTTGTTTAATTTTTAGTTATTGATTTATTAAAAATCTTCAATTTATATTTACTTATGTTCTACTTATTATATACTTTAATTTATTTCAGGAATATTATTTATATTTTCTTATTATTACATATATTATACATTTATTTTTGTTAAAACATTTTTAAATTCTTAATTTTCTTATTTAAATGATTAGCATGTTTTTTAATTTTATTATACTTCCTTTATTTAGTTTTTAAGTTTTTTATATATTTTCTCTATGTATAAATAGAATAAATAAAAATTTCGTTATTCATATAATAATTTGAATAATTTTTTATTTATTTTTTATAAAAATTTTTCTTTATTTTCAAAAAAGTTATTTTATAATAAATCGTCTAATCTATTCATTAATTCTAAAATTAAATTTTTTGTATTTAGTAGTTCGTTTGAAGAAATACAATTTTAAATTTATGATTTTAATTCTTAAATATTCAAAATTTTTTAAGCTATTATTTGATCTTAATTAGTATTATTATTATTATTAATTTCAATATTGTTTATAATAGTATTTTCTTAATAAATTTTATTATTTATATTAGAAATTATTTATTTTTCTGAAATTTATTTGTTTAAAATTCTATTTTCTTAAATTTAATTTTCATTATTTTCAAAATTTTACCTTATGTTTAAAATTTAGTTTTATTATTCGACTTTTTATTCCGAATTAAAATACTAATAATTATTTTCTTATATTTGAATTTAAGTTTATAATGATAAATAGTTATTCAATATGTTTGAAACAGATTATTATTGCACAATTTATTTATTTTCATCATAAAAAATATCTTTTTATCCTTATTTAAAAGGTTATTAAGACGATTAATATTATTATTCTTATTACTTATAAATATTATCAGTTTAAATAATATTTGAATTTTATTAAAAAAATATTTCATCATTAAATTTTTATTCTTTATTTGATTTTTCATATAATGTTTCTTCTTCATTTAATATTAAAGGTTTATATTCTGATATATTTTATTTAAAATAATTTTTTATAAAGTCTTCATTTTTTTATTTTTTTCCAGTGTTTTCATTAAACTAATATTATTAATTTTCAAATTTATATTTGGTTTAGACTTCTGATATAAAAACCTTATTACATTGTATCTTTTAAGCTGAATCAAAACAGTTCTATTATTAAATTTAAAATAATATAAATAAATGTAATTTGTCATATATATATTAATTTTTAAATAATAAATTTTTATGAATATTTTTTTTTTTCAGTTTAATTTTTAAATTGAATATTATATACTTATTTTATTAAAATAAATTAATACATATTAATCCTCGAGTTCTTTATTTTTATTTTAATAATTTAATTTATAGCCATATTAATTTACTTAAGAATTTAGATATGGAAGATTATAATTTATTTATTCCATTTAAATTTTTTTTTTTTTTTTTTTTAAATTAAAAATAAGTATTGTTTTAAAACATATTTATATATATTGATTTATATATCAAGAACATAAAAAAATATTTTTTAATAAATATAAAGAAAAAATATATATTTTTTTGATTATAAATAAATAAAAAAATATAAAAATATGAAAAGAATAATAAAAAATTATAATAAATTATTATTAACTTAATAATAATCAAGGCATTATCATTATGATACTTGTGGAAGAGCATTAATGGGTATTTAAAATTATATAATTGAATAAATTCATTTAAAATAAAAATTATATGAATTATTATATTATTATTAATTTATTTTATATAGGTAATCCCAATGCATAATCACCTCCATCATAATATTATTGTTACCATTATCTTCCTGATGCATATCCTGACGCAATAGGAGGATTTAGACATTTAGATAAAGATCCCTTTGAAGTTTAATAAGTTTTTGCATATGAAAATTGGGAATATCAGTATAGATTTAAAGATTTTATTATAATTATTATATTTTTCAATAAATTAAATTATCTATGTTATAAAATAAAATAGATATGATGGTTAATGGTGGCATATTGGATCTTTTTCATGGAATATGCTTTGGTTTTTAAGTCCATTTTTACTTTGCTGTCTTATATATTTTGAAAATGTAAAGAAATAATAAATAAATATAAAAACAAAAAATACATATAAATATTTTATATAAATAATATTTTTTCTATATAAAATTAAAATATAATTACATTATAAAAATTTATTTATTTAATTTAGCTTGAAAATGAAAAAAGAAATTCAACCTAAACTATTTTTTATCATAATTAATTAGGATTATCGTTATATAGAAGTATAGATTTTTATGATGGTTATTTTGATGATGTAAAAGTCGAAGACTTCAAAAATAAAAATGAAAAGAACTAATAACAAAAATTATGATCAATAATAAAAAAAAATTGAGCATTTTCTTATAGATTAAAGTTTTTTTTGTTTATTATTTTTTTCATAATAAAAATCAAATAAATACCATTTTTTTATATATATTTTCAAAAACATAAATTATAATATGTATTTAATTTAAAGAATACAATAAATTTTTATATTTTTATATTAAAATTATTTTATTAAAAAAATCCAATATTTTAATAAATGCTTTAATAGAAATTAAAATAATAATAATAGTTAATTATAATATATTAATATTTTTTTTAACTATATTTTATTTTATTTTTTTTAACAAATTATTTAATTAAACAAAAAAAAATTAAACTATAAAAACATTAAAAATAATGTTATAAATAAATATAAAAACTAAGTTACAAAAAATAATAAAAAAAATATATTTTTCAATTAAAAAAAAAAAAAACTAAGAAAGAAAAATGAGTTAATACGCATACGATTATGATCCTGCGAAAACTTAAAAATATTAAAAAAATTAAATTTCTAATGAAAAATTCTCAAAATGGACAAAGGAAAACCTTTATCGTACATCTTATGTTAGTCATTGGTCAAATGTAAAAAAAAAAAATACTAAATAACAATTAAATTCAAAAAAAAAAAAAAAGAAACCACTTGAACCTAAAAGTCATGTACCTCCAGGATATGCTGGATATATTCCTTAACTATTGCCAAATAATGAATATGGTGCTTCATACGGCAAAATAACTTAAAAATGTTTAGATGATCCCAAATTATCATAAAATCCTTTTAAGTTAGCATCTACTGGATTTAATTATAGACGCCATGGTAATAATTTTATTTAAATAAACAATTTAAAATAGAAAAATTTAATTAAATTTAGACTTCAAAGACACTTCAAGAAAAGCTTATTCTCATAAATATGGATGTTAAACAATTATTACTAATCATCCTGCAGTTGAAGTTGAAAGTAAAGATTGGGTTTCATAAACAAAAGATACGTTCAGAAATCCAAAAAATAGAGTAAATCCTACCTACAGAGAAACTGATAAATAGCTTTAAACATAAAAAAATTTCACAAAGACTTCTGGATTTTAACAAAATCATACATGCTTTGATGGAACTGGATGGGTACCTGATAAAATATTAAATGGTAAAATTTTTATAATAATATATAATAATTATTATATATATATTTTTTTATTAAAAGCTAATAGAACACTTTCTGAATATAGAATACATTATAATACTAAAGTTCCTTTTCATAGAGAAACTAATTTATTCAAAACTAGATAGCTTTAAAGAAAAGAATATAATTACAAACATATGGGATGAATATATATTTTGTATTTATAAATATATATAAAAAATAATTATAAAAACTTTTATTTTTTTATAAATGATTGCAAATAATTATTTATTTATTTATTTTTTAATTTTATTTATATATATATATAAAAAAGATATTAAAAAAAATAATAAAAAATACATTCATATTTTATAATAATTAAAGAATTAAATTTTTAAATAACGTGATTTATGTTATGTGGTGTAATAAAATATTAAATATATAGGCATAAAATTAATTTAATTATATACAATAAATATTAAATTAATTTTTAAATAATTATATATTTAATATATAAAATAAATATCTAAAATAGATGTATATTATTTTCCTTATTTAGTAATTTAGTAATTCTTTTATAAAAGATATTTTTTTAAGATATTTTTAAGTAGAAATATAAAAGCAAAAATTATATAAGATTTTGTATTTTTAAAATAAAAATCACAATTTTATTATATATTAATATATTTAAGTATATTAGTACTTCTTTTATAAATATTTTAATATCTTATATATTTAATTAGTATTAGTTATTATTTATTATTATTTTATATTGTTTTTTGTATTTATTTTATTTAAAAATCAAGTTAATTTCCACATATGCAAGCATTAATTAGAATCTATAGTAATTATTTCATAATTAAAATGCTCATTTATTATACTTTTACTTTATTATGAATTTTTTTTATATTTATTTTTTTATTTTAGTTTTCTTTATTTTTTTCTATATTTATAAATATTAGTAATTATTATATTATTATTTTAATTATTATTTTTTTTTCCATTATTATTCCATTTAATTAATTTTTAAAATTCATTATTATTATCAAAAATTAAATTATTTTCATTTATTTAATGTTACTATTATTATTATTATTCTAAAACATAAAAATTATTTTTTATTTCTTCAACAATATATTATTACATATTTATATTTGAATTAAGATTTTGTTAATAAATAACTTTATATTATTAAAGATTTATATTGAAAATTTCCTATTAAACAATAAGAATAAGGAAATTGTTTTATAATAAAAATTCCGTATAAGGTTAATTAATAGAAGCAAAAGATATTTAAAAAACTAATTAGTTTTCAATAAAAGTATTCCAAATATTAATTTCAGTAAAACTTAGTGAAATTAATTTATTATTATTAATAGAAAATTATATTTATTTAATTTTGGAATTATGAGCGAAATTAATTTAATTAATTTAAACGAATGTTTTGGTCTAACATTATTAATTATTTTTTGTTTAAAAAAAAGATTAATCATCTAAATCAAAAAATGAATTTTCTAAACTTTTCTATTTTTTTTCTATTTTTTGTATTTATTTTAAGTTATCACTTAAATCCCATATTGAAATAAAATAATTATCTTTATTATAACAATCAACACCCGCAAACAAATAATTAAAAGTAAGATATTGATATTAAAATATACATGAAAACATAAAATCTACCTATTAATAATCTTCAATAGTAAATTTTTGGTTTATGCTTAAATCATTCATATTTACACAATAAATTTTTTTTAATGTGGCTACATATATATTTTGGTTCGCTACTTAGAGTGAATAAATGAAAGTCTTAAAAACTCTGGATTCAACTAATTTCTCAAAATTCATATGTACTTCCCATAGAATTAATTTTCTATCTTAAAATCCACATGATATAAGCTAATTTTAAGAGTTTTTTTTTAATTATTTTACCCCTTAATGAGCTTTATGATAAAAAAATAGAAGTTTAAAGCATTAATTAGAATTTTATTAATTATAATAATAAATATATAAATTTCCAATCGTATCTCCTATTATTATGTTGTTTTCAATTTATTCTAAACATGATATTTATAAAGAAAACATTTATTTTCTTAATAATATAGCGTGTTATTATTATTACTATTATTAAATTACTGTCATTTTTATTAACTAAATTATTATATTTTATATTTATAATTTTTTGGTTATTAATATTTTATTTTTTAATAAACATATATATAATTATAATATTTTTTAATTTATATATGTTTGAAGTTAAGCAAAATTAAACCTCTTTTTTATTTTTGTTTAAATAATTAATGAGATTAATAAAAATAATAATAAATTTATTATTTAATACAATTTTTTTTTTCTTTCTTATATTTATTTTTTATTTAAAAAAATAATGATTATTATGACATAATTTTTAATTTTTTTGCATTTATTTTAATTTTATTTTTCCATATTTTAACACGTATTTTAATTAATTAAAAATGCTTTGCCTTAATAATTTAATAGACTAATAATATTTTTTTTTAATATAATTATGAAAATCTAATCATTTATAATGTAAACTATATAATAATAAATTCCTTTAAAAGGCGGTTAACTTTTATTTTCTATTATTAATAAAATCAATATATATTAATGTAATTGTGATTAGTTAATATTCTATAATATTCAAATAAATAATATTTTTTATAATATATCTTTTTTTAGTATTATTAGTATATATAGAATGGAAAAAAAAAGATTTTTATTTATTAAAATATAATTTATTTAAAAGAATTAATATGGAACTTTTTTTTTTTTTTACAAAATTTAATTATAATTATAATAAAAAGATAAATTTTATGATATTAATTTTCAATAATTTAAAATTTATATATTTATATAAATTGTTTTATAGATTTAATGTATATTTTAATCCTATTTTTTTATATTTGATTATTTAATATATGTTTATATTTTTGTTTTTTTGTCTATGTTTATAAATTTTAATGGTTTAATTGTTTTTAGATTAATTATTGTTTTTGATTTTATTTTTTTATTTTTTTATTTTTGAATTAGAAATGAAAATATTTTCATTTAAAAATATCTATTTTTTTTTTTTAATTAAATTTTTTTGTTTTGTTTTTTTAAAATATTTTCAAAAAATATCAAAATTAATTAATTCTAATTAAAAATTAAAATTTATTTAATTTTTTTCTCTTTACTGACAAATTAATTTATATATATAAAAACAACAAGTATTTATATATTATTTTGTAAATAATAAAAAATACTCATTTTTTAGGAAAATCTCTATATTCTATAGGAGAGTTTTCTTATAAATTTAAAATTAATATGAAAAACTCTCTAAGTTTAAAATTTATTTTCTCATCTTATGATATATTTTTAACCCAAATTTAAATAACTATATGTTAATTATCTTTTACTTATAAAGTAACTCCATTAATATAATTTCCAAATTCACATTCTTCACCTATCAAACCTAATAGTAAATCTTCCCAAAATTTATTGGCATATTCAATCTTTATTCTCATTTAATATCTACCTCCTCCTTAATTTGCTGGATCTTCCCACATTGGTTTAATTCCTTATTAAAAACAATAAAAATTTGTTCCTTCAGGAAGTTTATCAGGACGTACCATATGTTAATAATAAGCCCAAAAATCTTCAGCTGTTGAAAATGTGCCTATTTATTTTAATTAATTTTAATATGAGTCTTAATTTTCAACTTTTTCGGAAACAAACCAAAATGTAAATGGTCTTTTTAAAATCATATTTTTTATTTTACTTTATTTATTTTTATATTATTTCCTTTTTTTATATTGTTAATATTTTATTTTATTTTTTAAAAAAAAATCAAATATTTTATAAAAAAATTATTATATTTTTATTATATGTTTTTATTTTTTATATATTATAGACATTATTATAATAATATATATATTTTTTTTTTTCCTTATATGTTCTTTTTTTTATTTAAGAAACTTTATTTTTTTATTTTTTTCAAATCAAGATTACATTAATTCAAATCAAATTTAAATTTAATATTTAAATATATTTATATAATAATCCATAAAATATTATATTATAATATATGTATTTTAATAAAAAATATTTTATTCATTTATTATTTTATAATATTAATTATGAGCATTTATGCATTTCTCAGTAAAACCTTATCTCGAAAGATATATCATTAAAATATGAATAAATATATTAATTTAAGATAGAATTTATGAGAAATATTCAATCTTAAATTAATTTATTTATTAAATTTTAAATCAAATTTGGCTAAATATCATCACAAAGTATAAAATGCTCATTTTTTTTTTACTATTTAATAATATATATAATTTTTTATGATATATATTTATTAAAATTAATAATAAAAAAAAATAATTAATTTTGTAATTTTTATTTCAAATAATTTTAGTTTTTTTTTTTTTTTTTCTTTAACAAATATTATGAATAAAAAAAAAATAATTATAATTTATTTTATTTTATATAAAATATAATTAAAATTTAAAGGAAAAAAAAAAAAAAAATTAAAAAAAATGTCAAAAATCGTTCCAATTGAAGTTAAATGTTTAGATGTAGGAAAAAGAGTTAAAATGTATATATTTTCTTTTATATTATATATTTTTTTATTTTAAATAATACCAAAATTATATTATTTAAATAAAAATTTATTTCTCTAAAATCTATAATCTATTCATTTTAAAAAATATATTTTATTTAAAAAATAAAAAAGGTCAAAAAAAAAATATGTTTGGACATTTTCAATTGATGATTAAAATCATATATTAGAAGTATTTGTATCTTTTGCAAGTGGTAAGCGTAAAATTCTCCACAACAAAAAATTAATATATGATAAAAAACAGTAATTATATTCATTTTATATACTTTATAATTTTAATTAATCTTTATTGAAAAATTTAATATAAATAAAAAAGACTTATTGATATGTTAAATTTTCCTTTATAATTAGGAAACAATATACTTACAATTTAACAAATTAAGGAAAATTTTTTTTTAAGAATAAATAATGTTCCCTTTGAAAGTTATTTTAGAATTAATAATAAGTAAACAAAAAAACAAACTATTAAAATATATATTTTATATAAAAGTAATCTTAATGGAAATGATAGAAGATCAGAAAACAAATCTAATTTGGATATAAAAGATGTAAAAAATCCTTATGCATAAACTGTAAATAAAAATTTAAATCCTTTTAAAACAAATACTTAACCAGCTAAAAAGAAGGCTAATTTTGATGATTTTAATGATTTTTAAGGAGGATAAGGCTAGGCATGTGATGGATTTAATGATTTTAATTTTTAGAATTTCAAATAAAATAATAACAATGATTTTTTATAAACTAACAATTAACAATAAATGTATTAGTAAGACAATAACTAATAGTATCAAGTTGATTTTTTCGATGAGTATGATAATAATAATTTAAATCAAAATAATTAATAAGGAAACTAAAATAATTATAACAATAATTTATTAGATTCTGAAGATTCAGCAGATGAAGAAGAATATGCAAGAAAGATGTAATAATAAATATAATCTAACTCTTTCGGATAACCTTAATAAGAGTAATAATAATAAAATTAATAACAATAGTAATAATAGTTAAATTTAATGGATTTATATGATACAGGTCCTTTATAAAATAACTAAAATGCTTTTGGTTAATAAAATAGTAATATGATAACTTAAAATTAAATGCTTGCTTAATAAACTTAAATAAATCCAATAACTTAACCTAATAATTAAATGAATTTGATTAATAATTAAATGGGATTAGTTAATAATCAAATGGAATAACCAAATAATCAAATTAAATAATTTGGAATGTAAGGTGTTAATAATATGGGAGGAATGGCATAAATGGGAGGAATGTAATAAATGGGAGGAATGGCATAAATGGGAGGCATGGCATAAATGGGAGGCATGTCATAAATGGGAGGCATGGCATAAATGGGAGGCATGGGATAGATGCCTGTTGCAAATAATATGGGAGCTATAGGATAAACTCCTGCAGTAAATAATATGGGAAATATGGGAGGAATGGGATAAGTAGGAGGTATGGGATAAGTAGGAGGAATGGGATAAGTAGGAGGAATGGGATAAGTAGGAGGAATGGGATAAGTAGGAGGAATGGGATAAGTAGGAGGAATGGGATAAGTAGGAGGAATGGGATAAGTAGGAGGAATGGGTCAAATGGGTTAAATGGGAGGTTATGGATAAATTTAAAATAATTAATAAATAGGATATATGGGAGGAGGCAATTATTAATAATAGAATTAATAACAATAGTAATAAATGGGATATGCTAATAATCCATTTTTAAATAGTAATTAATAAAATATTAACTAATAATAAGAAAAAACTCCGTTTGATGATTTAATTTGAAAATAAAGATTAAAAATTTTAATTTTTAAAAATATAAACTAATTTTTGAATAAAATAAAATAGTTAATATTAATAAAATTGTTATAGTTTTTTTTTAATAGAAATAAAAATATACTTAAAACATTTGTTTTTTCAATATAAAGATATATTTTTTAGATTCTAAATACAAAATAAAATATAATATAATAAAATGAAAAAATGAAATAAAATATAATAAAATAAAACAAAAAAATAAAAAAATAGTAAAAAAATAAAAAATTGTAAAAAAATAAAATAAATAGAAAAATAAAGCAAACATATAATTTATTTTTAAAATTAATTTATAAAAAATTATATTATATAAAATTATATTATATTAAATAAGAACAATTAAAGTATTCAAATTTATTTAAAATCAAAAATAATTTTTACAAAAAAAAGTTAAGATATTTAATTATTAAACAAACAAATAAAAAAAATAAAAAAACAAATTCTATTTTTTTTTTTTTAAACCAAAATAAAAAAAATGCTCTCAAAACTTTATGCTTCAAATACAAAAATAAACACATATAGAAACCCTAAATTATTATTTTTAGGGTGTTGTGGAGATGTAGGAAGTACAATGGAATCCGTACTTTCAAGCGAATTTAAATTAGATTATATAGGAGTGGATAGTAGTTTTAAAACATACCTTCATATTCCTGGGAGTAGTCAATAATTAGGCTTTAAATATATAAATGCATGTTTATAATCTCCATAGGAATTCTCTAAATTAAAAAAAGAAAAAGATATAAAATACATAGCAAGTTTTTTTAATCATAACAAATTAATTGATAGAAGAAATTATTAATCTTCACGTTTAGCTAATATATAATAAACAAAATTACTTATAAAGGAACTTAAATAAGTTTTTTTCAATGTCTATGGTATGCATTTGTTTTTCCCTTCATGTATGAGTGTCTATGGAGATAGACGTGATAATCCTTATATTACAATAAATGATACGCCAAATCCAATAAAAGGAGACCATTTTGCAGAAACAATGTTAGAAGCTGAATAAATTATAAAGGATTCCGGAATTCCATATACTATAATGCGTTTAGCACCTATATGCGGTATTTTTTTTTATTTATTTATGAAAAAAATAAATAAAAAGATAGTAAATTAGATATAGGGTAATTAGATCCTAGATATTTCCATTTTGATTTAAATAGAGAATATGAATGGATAACATGTAGAGATGTAGGAAGATTTATTAGATTTGGAATAATGAGAATAGAAAAAATAACAAATAAAATATTAAATGTAGGAGGAGGAGAAAATGCAAGAATGAAACATATGGATTTTATGCGGGAAATATTTATTCGAAGAGGAATTACATTCGAATCTCCTTGTGATTTAAACCAAAAATATTTCTATAATAAAAATGTATTTGGAGGTATTTATGCTGATAGCGATTATGCGAATTAATTACTTAAATTTTAATAATAGCCTATAGATGCGGCTTATTTAAGATAAATTTACAGATATCCATTTTATAAAAGATGGAAAAATTAAAAAGAAGATCCTAATAAGGCAATTGAACTAGAATATTAAAATTCCCATTTATACTAAGCTTTAAAAAATAAGAATGAATAATTTATTCAACATTTTTTTGATGAAAAAAGAACACTAAATCCTGAATAAATTGAATTAGAGAAAATTAGAATTGAATTGAGAAAAAGAAAAGTGGAAGAATTGAAAGAATTAGAATAATAAAAATAAAGAGAAAAAATAGATTTACTTAAAGAATAATTTTTTGAAAGAAATAAAATACATAAGAAATGGTTAAGAAGAAGAGAATATTTATAGAGGTATGGAGGTGATTGGGAAATTATTAACCTTTAAAATGTTGATAATTTAGAAAAAAATCATGATAAAAAATATTATAAGGAAATCGATCTTTTAATTAAAATTGAAGAAATAGAAAAATCGAGACATTAATCAATTGAATAACACAGATTAAGACAAATACCTATTCCTGAAGAATTACTTAATGATAAGTATGACATTGATGAAGAAGAAGGAGAAGAAGGAGAAGAAGAAGGAGAAGAAGAAGGAGAAGAAGAAGGAGAAGGAGAAGGAGAAGAAGAAGAAGAAGAAAAAGGAGAAGGAAAAGGAAAAGAAAAAAAATAAAGAAAAGAAAGAAAAGAAGGAAAATAAGGAAAGGAAGGAAAATAAGGAAAGGAAGGAAAAGAAGGAAAAGAAGGAAAAGAAGGAAAAGAAGGAAAAGAAAAAAAAGAAGGAAAAGAAGGAAATGAAGGGAAAAAATAAGATGAAAAGTAGTAAAAGTAATAATAAGTAAATAAAAATAAAACTAAAAATTGATTTTTTAATAATTATTTTATTGAATATATTAATATAAAAAATAATGTAAATTTTTTAAATTAATTGGTATTAATATTTTTTTATAGTTTAATTTTTATTATTATTATTTGAAGTTATCATAACTATTATATTTTATTACCAAATATATTATTTTCTTTTTTTATATATATTTAAATAAAATATCTAACTATTAATACAAGGCAAAAGTTATAAAATAAAAAAAATAGATTCTTATAATTTCTTATCAAAAAATAAATAAAAATTAATTTAAAAAGCAATTTAAAATAAAAATTAATTTAAAAAACAATTTAAAATAAAACAAATGTAATAAAATTTGCAAATATAGCCTTCATCCTTTGTTCAAAAAAAAATATTAGAAAGCATTCAATAACTCCATTAGAGTTACAACATATCATAAAAAGAATTAGCTTCCGGAAGTTTTGGTCAAGTATTTATAGTTGAACATAAACAATCAATGAATAAGCGTGCTCTAAAGATGATAAAAAAAACATCTTAAAAAAAACTAGATGATTCTTTTTATATAGAAATAGAAATACTTAAAACCCTAGATCATCCAAACATTTTAAAAATCTTCGAATTTTATGAAGATAATAGCCATATATATATAATAACTGAACTATGTGAAGGAGTTGAACTTTTCAATCACATAGTAGACCAGCAATAATTTACCGAAAAAGTAATAGCTGAGATAATAAAATAAATATTATCCTGCTTGCAATATGCGCATGAGAAAAACATTATACACAGAGATATAAAACCTGAAAATATAATAATAAATCCTTCCACAAATAAAATAAAGTTACTTGATTGGGGAGCTAGTGTATAGAATTTAGCCGGAGGGGCTTTAACTGAAAGAGTAGGAAGCGCTTATTATATTGCCCCAGAAATTCTCTAAAATAAAAAATATAATGAAAAAGTTGATATGTGGTCCTTAGGTGTAGTTTTTTATTTACTTATTTGCGCCGAAGTGCCTTTTGATGGGGATAATTAAGATGAAATTTTCAAAAATATTCTTAAAAATAATGTGCCTTATACATAGAAAATTTGGAATAATGTAAGTTTATAATGTTAGGATTTATTAAAAAAAATGCTCGATAAAAATCCCAATAATAGAATTTCATGTTAACAAGCTCTTTAAAGTGAATTCTTTAATATTGTAGATATTAAGGTTGATTCCATTCTATTAAAAAGTAAATATATATTTTTTATTTAAAAATTAATAGTATGATATATATTTTTATGTTTAAAAAAAAATAAAAAAGATAAATTAAATTGTATTAAAAACTTTTAGTATAAAAGTAAACTATAAATGGCTGCATTTTCATTTATTTCTTCGCATTTAATGTGTGAAAAAGAAAAAGAAAAAGTAAAAAAAAATAAAAATTAAAATTAAAAAACAAAAATATATAAATAAATATAGTTAGCCTCCTTATTTTAACATTTAGATGTAAATAAAGACGGAAAATTAAGCCGAGAAGAAATATTGACTGGATACAAAGAAATAATGGGAGAACTATAAGCTACAAAATGTGTAGATTAAATATTCGAATAAATTGATGTTGATAAAAGTGGATCAATTGATTACAATGAGTTTCTTTCAGTAACAATGGATCAAAAATACTTATAAAATAAACAAATTTTGTAGTAAGCTTTTGAACTTTTTGACGCTAACGGAGATAAAAAAATTAGCGCTGAAGAAATAAGTAAAGTACTTTCTAATCATATCAATGAATCTGATAAATAATTATGGGAAAGTATTGTGAAAGAAGTTGATAAAGATGGTAACGGACTTATTGATTTTGATGAATTTTAATCTATGATGTAAGCTTTTGCTATTAAAGATAGTGGTTAATATATTCTTACTAGATCAAGAAAAAGAAAATAAGAAAATAATGATTAGCAAATTTAGGATACTCATTTAAGGAAATAAAGCAAGAAATCAACATGAATAAATGGATTTTTTAAAATAATATTGAGTTAATAAAATATTTTAGTTCATTATTTTAATATATTATATACATTTATTATTAAATTAAAAATATCATCTACAGTAGCCATTGCTCCCAGACCTTTTTTTTTAATAAAATATATTTAAATTTTTTCAATCTTTTTGTTATAAATAAATACCTTTGTCTCCACACATAAGAATTTTTTCTAAAGTATCCATTATAATAAAATTCCATTTTTTAAGTTTATTTAATTATTTTAGAGTTATAGGGTGCTTTTTTTGTTTAATAAATTTTAATATATTTTATAAAATATTAAATAAAAATAAAACATCAAAATACATTATACATATAAGTATTCATTGCAGGAGCAACTATAATTGGTTTGTTTAGAATAGTTTAAACAGTATCTTATTAATTATATCTAAAAAATATTTACTTGGAATCTAAAGTTAAATCCCATGCTCTTACAATACTTGTCTTGTTAAAAAAAATATTATATTAGTATAAAAAATAAATATAATTTTTAATTACTAATAAATTATCACATATTCCATTTGTTATTTTTGCTAAAGTATTAGCTGATAAAGGGGTTATAACAAAAATATGAGCCCATTTTCTTAAATCTATATGTAAAACAGGGTCTCCTCGTTATTTCCATTATCCCCACTCATTTTCATCTGTAAATATTTCTAATTTATTTTATTCTATGTATGATTGAATGGCATAGTCAAAAAAAGTAAGTGATTTTTATGTCGCAACTATTTTTATATTAAACTTTTCTGATTTTATTAGCTTTTCAAGGATTTCCTATAATTTTATTACTGCAATAGAACCACTTAAACCTATTAGTAAATTTAATTTTTAATCTTCCATTTTTATAATCTTATATTTGTATAGTATTTTAACCTATAAAAAATATTAAAAAAAGGAAAAATAAAAATATTAAAATAAGGAATAAAATTTGAAAAATAACAAATAATAAAAAATAATTAAAATTTGTTGTTTGAAATAATATTAAAAAAAAAATTTTAAATAAAAAAATAAAACACAATGAAGTAATTTATAAAATAAATAATACAAATATTGATTCATTTATATTTTTATTAATTCAATTGCTAATAATCACCATATGATTAACTATTTTAATTATCCGATACAACATGTATTGAAAAAAACAAATGTCATACCAACTGTAAATATTATCTCGAACATAATACTATGGATGAAAATCAAAAACCAAACTACATATGTGCATACTGTAACACAGGCTATTACCCTCCTCCTCTTCCAACCTAATTTGACTAACAAAATCCTCCTATAGTACCTTGTTCATAAAGTTGTAAAAAAAATATTATTTAAGTTATAAAAAAAAAACAATAATTTATAGATATAGATGTAAATTCTTAAATTATAGATGATATAATATATATAAGTGCTGATGCAAATAAGGAATGCTAAGAAAATGTCACAAGTCCTCTCAACTAAAATAACTGCGAAAAGCATTTTCAAATAGGAAAATGTGTATGTGAGAATTACGAAAACGCCTGCAAAAAAAATATGGATGGAAGTTTAGAAAAGCCATATGATAATTTATTCAACGCCTTATTTTTTACAGAAAAGAAATACGAAAAACAATACAACTTAAATTTAAGTTTTATTCTTTTGAAAGGAAAAGAAAGTTAAAAAACCACATTTTAAGTACTTATAAATGAATATAATAAAAATAAGGAGTGTATTCTATAAGAAAAATTAATAGATGAGAAAAAGCCATTGCATTTTTTTGCCCGAAAAAACGTTTCATTGAAAATCATTCCTTTAAAATGTACTGAAAATAGTCTACAAAATTAAAATATATGCTTTCAAAATGAGGAAAAAGCAACTCTTGTTTTCAAAAAATTCTCTTTTCATATTCTAGCTATGAAAATTTAATTACAAGATGTCATTATTGAAGGAAAAGAAGCCGTTTAGGAATTTTTAAAAAGCGATTGTACTTATTTGAGGGATTTAGAATGTTGTATTTACAAACCAGATGAAGAAACTCCATTTTAATTAAATTAAGATGCTTTTGATTCTTTAGAAAACGCTGATAGTAAAAATAAAAATTAATAACTATTATAAAAAAAAATAAAAAGGACATTCTTTAAGATAATATTACTAAGATTTATGTTTTCCTTTGATTTCTTTCCTAAATACAGAAGAAAGAACTTTTTAAAATACTGAAGAAGGCCAATATTTAAAAAGTTAAGCTATAAAACTTAACGCTTCATTTGATTTTTAAATAGACTAACATAAATATACTTATAGATATTTTGGTCTTTTTAATATTGATTATGATATAGTCGGAGATCAAAATTTATAAGGATAATTAAATTTTATAAATGTAAATATTTAGAACGTTCGAATATTTCCCGGTGTATATAAAAAAGAGAATGATTTTGTCAAAAACTATGGCTATAATACTATTAGAAGTATCATTTAATATTCTTTTACAGCCTAAATTAATATATAGAACACTTTTTTTAGAAATAATTTTCTTCTAGATGGTTTTTTGAATAATTTTGTGTATTTCTCGAATTATTATAATAATATAAAAACGACTTTTTCTTAATTTTATGATGGTCAAGAAGGAAAAAAAGCATCCTTAATTTAAATAAAGGATTCATCTTTTGAAAATTTTAACGACGCTTTTTGGCGAGTAGAAAATCATGCTAAATTTGTGGCAAAAAGTCCATTTACTATTAATGTTTATAGCATAGGATTAGCGTAATTTGCAGGAGAATTAATTATTGATAATTCGATTTTTTCTAAAGCTATTCCTTTTTTACATACTTAAGCTCTTTTTTGTTCTTATACTTCTGAAATGGTAATATTCATTTTTTCTATTAATAAATATTTTTATTTTTTAAAAAAAGGTTGGATATGTAGAAGGTGATTCCTAAAAGAAATTATGGTTTCCAGGATACTCGTAAAAATTAACAGATTATTCAGATATTTTAAACTCTCATATAGTCTTAATAGATACTTTAGCTCGTATAGACATCCGAAATAGCAAATTTTTAAATAATACAAGTATATATATATATATATATATATATATATATATATATATATATATATATATATATATATATATAAAAAATATTTTTATATAAAATAACAAATAAAAATATAAAAAAAAAGGTAATTCAGGACCTGCATTAACAACTAAAGAAAATTTTATGTTAAGTCATATTGATTTAATAAATAAAAAAAGTGAAATTTTCATTTACAAAAATATATTCGAAATGAATTTTGGATTAATGGCTGGTTCTGTAATCCGTATAATGAGAAAAGGACCTCTTTATACAGAAAACTACTGCGGTCCAATTTATTTAAAAGAGAATATTTTCCAAGAAAACTACGGATGTCGTACTAATTTCGCTATAGTGAATATTCAGTGTTTTTTCTAAGGCGAATTTACCGATTCAGGTATCCAAAAAGCCAAAGATATCAAATTAGATGAAGATATAAAAACATATGCGAGCAAAGAACTTCAAGCTCCATAAGGATACAAAGGTAATAATATTAAAGAATGCATTGATATGAATCCATTCGAAATAAAATTCGAAAAAAATAAATTTTTTAATAATCTTTCTACTTGGTCAAGCGGAATATACGTTTTGGGAGCACTAAACGTAAAAATTATTGATAATATATTTGAAGAAAACGGCGTTTTGCACTCTGATACATATTTTCTATCCTAATATAGTCACTTTCATTATTTTTTTACAAAAATAGACAAAAAAGGTTATAATTTAGGGCTTTCTAAAGGCTTTATAGCCGATTCAGGTTTTTTAATGAAGGAAAGTTCTGCTGTTTTATTAGATTTATGTGATAAAATATAAATTATTGGGAATACTTTTGATAAAAACTGGAGTGTTTCAACTGGAGATTACTACATAGGGTCAAGTTTGAATATTTTCAGGAGTATAAGCTTTCACGGAATTTTCATTTAAAATAATTTATTTAAAAATCATGAAGGAGTACCTGAATATATTACAAGATAAAATATTATTTCAAATCTTTATTTAAATAAATAAACTAATTCAATTATAAGCATGAATGTTTTGGCTTTATAAGATTATATAAATGTGGGAAATATGAGATTTTTGATAGAAAAAAATCAGTTTTTGAATAATAATTTTAAAGTTTCATAGAAATATGTTGATAGTCAAATCGAAAAAAATATCAAATTTAAAACTTATTATAGTTATTATCCGGAAATTGTACTTGTTTAATTGTTTAAGTTTTATTATGAATTTGATGCTTTAGGAGCAGGGCCCAATGCTAAAGATGTTTAATTAAGTGTTTCGGATTAACTTTAAATTATTTTTACTTAAAATATATTTTCTAATAATATTAATTAGAATGGAAAATGTAAAATATATTTATTTATTTTTAATAATTTTTTATTTTTTTTCTTTTAATTAATTAGGTATGATACATTTAATTGGAGGAGATATTGTATAATTAAATTAAAATTAATTTATTAATAATGATAATGATTATTTTGATTCAAACAATAAATAAGGAATTTGGGGTTATATATGTACAACTGATAAATTAGGTATTTTAGCAAAAAGTAATGGAATGAATCAAATAACAATTTAAGGTGATGAAGCTGATGAGAATTTTATTGATTTTTATGATAACAAAGGAAAATTAATTACACATTACTCAAACGGTAATATATAAAAAAAATACAAATATAAAATTAAAAAAAATATGATATAGTTTCTAAATTAATGCTAAAAGGCATAAAAATAAAGCAAAATAAATCTAAAGAAAGTCTAATTGATATAATAAGTACAGCTGAAAAAACTGAAATAATAAATATTAAAGCCTTTGAAAATTCCCAATATTAAAATGGTATAATAAATATAATGGATAGTAAATTTGTAGAAATACAAGGGGCATAAATATAAAATAATATTCCAAAAATGATAAGCTGTATTTCAATTTTGAACTCTTAAAACACGGAAATAAAATAATCTAACTTTACAAATAATACATATATCCATGATTTTCGACTAGCATAGCCTTCACTTGTTGTAAATTATTAATATTATTCAACTCCTATAATGGTTAATTCTTCGAATGTTATATTTGATTCAATAAAATTAAATAGAAATATTGTATATCATATATATATTTATAAATATATAATATATATATTCTTTTATTTATATATGTATTTTTTTTACAAAAATTAAAATCAAAGGCATCTCATGGAGGAGGCATATTTGTTAGTGCTATCTCAACAATAACTGTAAAAAAAATAATATGTGAGAAAAACAATGCATTTTCCGGAGGTTGTATATATTCGGAAAAGAATAGTATAATAAACATACTCTAATCATAATTTAAGGAAAACATAGTCTAATATGCAGGGGGAGCAATAAGTTTATTTTCTCAAAGCGAATTAAACGATAAGTTATCTATTTTTTAATATAATCAAGCCGAAAATGGTGGCTGCATCTTTTCTTCAACTTCATTTATGGATTTAGATAAAAGTATTATAGAAGAAAATAAATCTCTTTTATTAGCCAGTGCTATTTCTAATTATATAGGAAAGTTTAATCTTAAATTTATACATTTAAATAAAAATATATCAAATGGAAATTCCCTTATTTATTCTATTGAGGGGGTTGGAGAAATTTTATCTTGTTTTTTTTCAGACAATTACGCTTCTAGATAGAGTTATGGGATTAGAGCTATTAGATCATTTATTATTATTAAAAGCTCGAGTTTTTTAAAAACTGATATCGATAAATCTGATATTTATTAAATTAACGGAGGATTTATTAGAATTTCAGAAGGAAATACAATTGTAAATAAATATATATTAATTTAAAAAAAAAAATTAAAAAAATAGATTGAAGATACAAAGTTTAATAATGGAATGGCTTTTAATGGAGGAAGTATTTTTAGTGGTTTTGAAGCCTTTTTATAAATAAAAAATTGCCATTTTTTTAGTGACGAAGTAATTAGTTAGGGAGGAAACATATATAGTTTTTTAAGTAGTAAAATAGAAATTATAAGCAGCAGTTTCCAAGAGTCTATAAGTTAATAAAAAGGAAGCAATATATATGCTTAAGGAGTCCGAAATATTATTATTTCTGGCTGTGAATTTTCAAAAATAACCGGAAATTCTATCTATGGATTAAATGTGTTTAATTTTAAAATTGATTAAGGATCTAAGTTTATTAATATAGAATAATAAAATTAAGAATTTTAGTTTAGTGAAATAGCCATCTAAAGTTAAGGTTTTGAATGCTAAATGTGTGATAATATTGAAATATAAAATACTAGTTTTTAAAATTTATTAGCCCATAAAGGATCTGCTATTTTAATTGACAATGATTATTTAACAGTACCATGCTTAATAAATATAAAAGATTCTGTTTTTGAAAATAATAAAGCATATTAAGTAAAAAAAACTAAACAAATACAAATAAAAATAAAAAAAAGGGAGGAGCCATATATTTATCAGGAAATATATCTGGAAACATAATAGACACATTATTTTAATCAAACATAGCATACTAGCCTTTAAATATAATATATTTGAAAAATGAAAGTGGTATCGGGGGCGGGGTCCTATACAACTGCCCTCGAATAAATAAAGACTGTGTCATTAAATTTACCAACGCAAAATTTTACTCTAACACTGCTACTTTAAAAGGTGGAGGCATTTAATGGAATGATAAGCCTTTACATATAGAAAGTAATTTTGAATTTAAAGATAATAAGGCCGTATATGGAAATAACATAGCTTCATATGCTGTTTGTGTTATAAAAGTAGACACAATATAAGATACATATAAAAATTCAATTTGTTTTAACCGTTAAATATAGAAAGGACGTGAAATAATAACTCGTTTTGCAATTGATAATTTTGTTAGTGGGTAAAGTCCAGAAGACTACAAAGTCGTAAATTCTACAAAAGTTGAGAATTTATCATTTGCATTAGTCGATCATTACGACAATAGGATCAAAAGCGATAATTCATCTAAAATAACAATGATTCCAATCGCCAAATTAACAAAAGATGATACTGGTTGGGAAAAGATATTCATTATAAACGGTGAAGAATTTGCCCAATAAGGTATTTTTAGTTTCAAAAGATTAAAACTAATAACAGTTCCTGGTAGTATAATAGAACTTTCAGTAATCACAAATGGAATTCCCTTCAGATTAAATCGCTAAATCGTTCGAATATTATAAGAAGATAATTAAATTTATAAAAAAAACACCACACATTTGGAATTTAACTCAAGATCTCTCCAAAATTAAATGGATATAGTTTCTTAATTAAGAGAAAGTTCAGATGCTACAATTTAAATGGAACTGCGAAAATGTTCCAGAGGAGAAATAATGAAAGACGACTATACATGCTATGAATGTCCTCGCTATGAATTTTCCCTTGATGATACTTAGGACATTTAACTAGGAGGAGAATGCTAAAAATGTGATAATAAGGTTTCATTATGTCAAGGAGGTTATTTTATGGGACCTCTACCAGAATATTGGAGACTAGATTCATATAAAAAGCATTTCCATAAATGTCCCAAAAAAGGCGTTTGTTTAGGCTATATAGACCTTTCATTTTAATCAGAATATAATTTTGTAGGAAAATGCAATAAGGGTCATACTGGGAATTTATGTGATTATTGTATTGAAGGATTTGCTATTTATTAGAATTAATACTGTGTATAATGTACGAATAATAATATATATTGGATTAGAGTTTTTTTTACTGTTGTTATAGCTTTTATTTAGGTTTGTTGGACTATTAGGAGTACTTTATTACAGAATTAATAACCGATGAAAAGGGCTGCTATTTTGATGAAAATGATGATGAATTTTATACAATCGATATTCATTTTTACTACTTTTAATTTCTAATTACCTTAAGAAATTGTCAGCTTTGTTTCTACTTAAAATGAATTGGCAGCTGCAAGTCTTTAAATGTTTAATTTTAATTGTTTATATAAAGCATGTATGCTTTTTTTATTATATTTCTTTTTATATATTTTTTCTTTTTAAGCAATTTTCTTAAATAATAATATTAGAGTTTATTTTGCTTAAACTATTGTTATTAGTTTAGCACCTCTTATACTAGTTTTTTTTGTTGTTATTTTCTGGGTTATTCTTTACTATATAGAATATGGAAATGAAGCTTTTAAGGACTCCTTTTATAAAAAAGAAATTACTAATAAACTTATAGCGTCATCAATTATAATCTAATTCACTATTTTACCAAAAATATTAGATTTAACTTTAAAAGCATATAAATGTGTAAACTTAGGCGATGATGATAATCCTATGTTATTTTTAAAAGCGGATTACGATGTAAAATGTTGGGATAAAACACACTGGTAAAAATAAAATAAATAAAAAAAAATGTTACCATATAAAATAGGTAATTTATAATATTTGTTGCATTACCAAGTTTACTTATATGGGGAATAATTTGCCCTATGTAATTATACCATTACCTAACTGAAAAAAAAGAACTACTTTTTACAAAAGAATACATTGAAGCTTATGGATTTTTACTAAGAGGTTATACTAAATAATCCATAGGAAACGAATTCTTAATTTTTTATAGAAAACTTATAATGATTCTTATTTCTGTTTATTTAGATTTTTCTATTAAAAACTAGTTGTTGATGTCTTTTGGTCTAATGGTTATTAGTTTAGCTTATCATAATTCCAAACATCCTTATTCTGATATTATTTTTAATAATTTAGAAAGAAATAATCTTATTAGTTAATGTATTATTTTGATTTCTTTACTTTATATAGTTTCAAGTAATTTTTTTCCAATTTATTATTTTTTTATTTTTTATATTATTTTTTTTAAAAAAAGTTGAATAAACTGAATTTTAAGCATTATTTTTTATATTTATAATCGTTTCTTATTTGGCTTTTATTATTAATGCTATATATTATTATTTAAAAGAAACAATCAATAATATATATAATTAATTTAAAGGAAATACTTAACTATTTAATTTTATATCTAAAGTAAACGATAAATTAAAAAATAAATACATATAAAAATTAGCTGATAAATATAAAGAAGTATTCTTGAAACCCAAATATGATTACAACAAAGTTTTATTATATATTTATTTTTAACTAAATATATAAAAAAAAGGAATTTAATGGTATGTTTTAATATTTAGAATAAAATAGTAATTTAATGGATGTTAATTTTGCAAAAGATTGTGAATATTCTTAAATTAAAAAATAGGCAAAATTAAAAGAATAAATAAAAAAAAAAATCGAAGAGAGAAATATGAAAAAGAAAATAGAAAAATATTAAAAAAAATTAGAAAAAACAAACAAGTTATTAAATGAAAAAAAAGATTAATCTATAAATGGAGATATCTAATCATTAAATAATGTTTAAAAAATAGATTCAAAAGATAATATTAAACAAGAATATATATAATAATAAGAATCTATTAGTTAAAAAAATAGACGAACCGAGAACATTTGACCATATAGAATTTGATAAAAAATGTATAACATATGTTAATTTATTAAGGATAAAAATATATATATATAATTTATAGCTTAATTTAAAATATTTTATTCCAAACAAAATATTTTTTAATTTTCTTTACATAAAAAGCAATATAATATAAAATTATTATTTATAATTATATATAAAATTGTTTATAATAAAATTTCTTTTTTTTTTTATAAAAAATTAAAAAATAAAAAATAATTATATTTTACTTAAATGGATAAATTAATATATTTCTATTATAATAATAATAAAAAATATAAAATTAAGAAAAAAAAAAAAAAAAAAAAATATAAATTTTAAATAAAAAATTATTGTAACATAATAAAAAAATAAATGGAAATAATAAATTAATATATATATATATGTATATATATCAAAAATCATACATTTATATCTTAATTACACATTGGACAACTTATATATTAATGAAGCCATTTGACTAAACATTTTTCATGAAAAAAATGATTGCATTTAGTTTTCCTAACTATATTATTATAATCAAAATCTTAAGAACAAATAGCACAAATTTATTCTTTAAAAGAATCATTTTATTAATAAGTTTCATAAACATCACCTTCAGTACACATATTAATTTCATTTTAGATTTAAATACTTAATTATTATTATTATTATTATATTATTTTTTATTAATTATTCAATTCTTAATTTTCATTTTAATTTTATTATTATATATTTGAATTATCTAAACTATAATTATTTTTAGTTACTTTTAAGTATAATGTAAAAAATGAATAAAAAATTATAATAATTATCGCAAAGTAAATAAAATATAAATGTAAATTATAAAATGAACTTCCCTATTATTCCTATATTTAAAAACTTATATTAAAATTCAATTAAAGGTATTAGTTTTGAGAATTTTTTAAGAAAAAAAGTATTTTTTACTCACTATTATTTATTTAAATATCCTAATATATTATATTTTGATTAAATATATATTTATTTATATAATCGTATTAATCTACAATTTAATTATTTGAATTTTAATATAAGATAATGAAATATTATTAAACTTTATTTAAAACAGTACAATTAATATTAACTTTCTAATTCTATTTTCTTTATAAAATAATATATTTTTAATCAAAAGGCTTTAAATTGATTATATTATCACCTTATTTTTACAAATAGAGCTATTCATATTAGCAATTAATCCCTAAATAATTTTAGTCACATTCACAAATATCTTTTTCTAAATATTTTCCTTTTTAATTGCAAGGCTAATTACTTTGTTAAGGACTTACTTAAAGCTCAAAGCAATTCATTTATACAAAACTTCGAGAATTATTATCTATGTAAATAATATAATAATAATCTTTAATGAAACTAAAATATTCTTTTTAGAAGTCTTAATTATAGTAAATAGTATATTCTTCTTTTTAAATGTCTGTATAATTAGTAAAACTTGATATTGAACTAAATTCTGTTATTATTATTTCAAAATTTTATATTTTTTAGTTTTTTTTGCAAATATCTAATTCTAGTAAAAGTTCATATTATTAGTTCATTTTATATTAAAATTATATTTTTTATTATGAAAGTAAAGGATTTAGCTGAAATTTGTATGGTTAAGTGATTTATTATATTGCACATAATGTTTTTGAAATTAAAGTTAAAAGTATAATTATATTGATTGACATGATTTTATTAAATTATTAAAATAGTTTTAATGTTTTTATTTGCTTGAAAAAATGATTTAATTTTTAAAAATTAAATTTATATTATAATTATGAAAAAAAAAAAAAAAAAAATTAATTAATTTTGATTAAGGTGAAAAAATAAAAAAAAAGTTGTACTTATATTTAATTGATATTATTATTATTTTTTTTATATTTATAAGTTATAAAAAAAAAAAAATTAACAAAAAATATAAAATAACAACAATAAAAAATTATAAAAACAATAACATATAAAAACTAATTAAAAGCATAAAATATTTAAAAATAAATAATTATAAAAATTTATTAATGCAAATATGAGCCTAAAACCAATAACAGTAGAAAATTCATCAATAGATTCCGAAGCTGAAGCTCGGCTTGAAGAAATAGAGCTTTAGCGTGAAAGATATATAGAGTTTTATAATTAATTAAATCCACAAGAAAGCGAAATAATAGGAATGTAAACTTTAGATTATTTTTTAGAATAAGGTGCAATTGCATTATACGATAAATATTTAGAAGAAAAACTACCTAATTATGGTGCAAACATAACAGTAATAAATGAGGCATTTTTAATAGGATAAATTATGTAACCAAAAGATGAAGGAGAAACAATAGAAGATCTTTAAAATTATTGGTGTGATGAAAGAGAACCAGTTAGCCTTTTTTTTTATTTTGAATAAAAAAAAAAAAATTAATTAATTTTTTTTTTTAAAAAAAAAAATTAAGTAAGCTTTACATCTTGATAATAGAGCAACAAATTCAGTAGGTATAGATATAAAATAAATAATAATAGAAGAAAGTGACAGTGATGATAAAAAATCCAATTATAGTCGTTTAAGTAAATATTCATATCGTTCATCTAAGTCAAGTATTGTAAAATCTCGTGTAAATTTAGGAAAAACCAATAAAAGTTTAGTAGAATTACCTACAAATTAAAAAAATAAAAGACATACAGATTCTTAAAAAATTGAATTTACTAAACTTCCTGAAAAACCTCCGGAAAAACCCGATTAAGATACAATTAGATTACGTCAAATTCGTGAAAAGAAAGATTATGTAAAGTCTATAGAATTAGAAAAATAAAAAAAAATAATGTAAGATGATGCTGAATTCGAAACTAAGAAAAAAGAAGCATAAAAATTGCTTAAAAATAAAAAATTTACTCACGATTTTAATGGAAAAGTTATTTTTGTTAATAATAAAAAATAAGATAAGGAAATGCTTAATAATATAATTACATTAGATGTCAAAAGTAAATAATTTACTGAAACTACTAAATTTGCTCTTAAGGCTGATGAAACTGGGAAAAATGTTAAAACTGTAATTTTTAGATAAGGGGATAAGATTAAAGACAAGGAAACCTTATAATTTGAAAATTAACCTAATTTACATTTAACTTTTAAAGTTTTTTATTTTTTTTAAATATTTTTTTTTTTATTTTCTTATAAAAAAAGGCTAATCCTGGCTCAAAACTTGTAACTAATTAAGGTTTAAAAAAAGAAGGAGGATTTTATAAATTTGATAATAGAATGAGAAGAGAAGAGTATTAAAAAATGATAGAAAGCTTACCTAATAGACCTATTCCTAATTATTTAGGAAATGAGCATGAAGAGTAATTAAAAAAGAAATAAGAGTAATATTTGGAAGAAAATTTAAAATTATTAAATGAGAAAATTAAAGCAGCTAAAAATGTAAGTTTTATATTTAAATTTTTTCTATTTTTCTATTTTATTTTTTATAAAAAGTCAAAAATTCATATTTTTAATAAATAAATTTTTTTGACTATGATGGATAATAGGAAAAAAGAAAAAAAAAATTCAGTGACAGATTTTTAAAAAAATGCTGTAAATTCAATAAATAATTCCTAAAAAAGCTTAAGTGAACTTTAAGAAGAATAGTTAATAAAATAATAAGAATTAAAAGAAAAAGAAATACAAAGAAAATAAATATATAAAAATATTAAATTAGAAAAAATCACTAATTATTCGAAAAAAGGTATAAAACATATTTTAATATATATTATTTTATTTTATTTTGTATAAAAAATATATATAAAATTAGAAAAATTATAAATTAATAACGAAAATGATTTAGTTGATATTTTAGAATTAGGAATAAAAGGCAAAATATAAATAAATGAACCTATTATAACTACTAAAGTACATAAAATTGTGCATAACTTTGATATATAAAATATATAAGATCCATAATGGGGTGACCCATTAACAAATGTAAATATTGATAATGAAAAAGCTTATCCTAAATTAAAAAGTCCGATTTTATAAACAAAACAATATAAAAAATATTCTTAAAATTCAACCTTAAAATTAATGAAAATATCTCAAAAATAATTATAAAAATGAATAAAAAAGAAAAACTTAAATCTGAAAAAATAATTTTATTTAATATGTAAAATTTATTTTAAATTTTTTAAAAAAAAATCATAATCATTCTGTAAAAGAAAATAATTAAGTTTATTAACAAAAATCTTTAATTGATTCCCAAAATTCAATTAATTCTAAATCTTCCATTTAATTCAAATTTATATTTTTCTAATCTTTACAAGCAGCATAAAAATTAGAATGAAATTCAGTATTTTTAACAATCTCTAATTTTATATTTTTATCACTTTCATTAAAATTATAAAATCCACACTAAAAAAAAAATATAAACAAACAAAAAATTAAACTTTATTTAAAAAAAATAACCATGTTTGAATACCAACTTACTATTTTCCAATCTTTAGCCGTATTTTCGATAAAGTTTTCATCATATTCAGGATTTTCACGGACTTAAACTACTAATTGATTAACTCCTATTTATTTATTCCATTTACTTGATTTAATATGGAAAGAACTAACTCCTCTAGAAATATCATTCAAAGCTAAATCAACACAATCTTTATTCTTTTTTTAAAAAAATAAATTATAATTTGAATTAAAAAATAAAACCTTTAAAGTTATTTCTGATAAATAAGCATCATTTGATAAAGGTATTAAATTAATTCCATTTTTTTAAAGTTCAAGTAAAATTTTAAAAACATTGAACTTTTTTCCTTAAAAGCAATTTTATAATTCTGAAATATTTATATCAATTAATTCAATAAAACCAGCTTTTATTATAAATTTCAAAGAAAATCTTTTCGTATCTAAATTTAAAAGTGCCTAACCTTTTTTAATACTCCTAATAGCCCATTTTTTATAAGGAAAATCCTCACATCTATTTTAAATCATTGTAAAAGGTACTATTTAATTGGTTAAAAAACTTACAGTCTTAGTATCTTTATTAAATTTTATATCTGATATATTTTCTGTTTGCCATCCCATATTTTTCTACGCTTTTATTTTATTTATTTTAACAAAATAATAATTATAATATATTTTATATATTAATTACATCCCATCCTGCAATAATTATTTATTCTTGCAAAATAATTTCAGGCTATATTTTATAATAAACTTTTATAGGTGCTATTGTATGATAATTAATAGGTTCTTAATTGTCCTAATTAGGATAAAATAATTGTTTAATATCTTCATAACATTCATTTTTTTTATAATAGTCCATTCTAAAAAATATTTAAAATAAAGTAAATGTAAATAATTCACCTTTTTATCTGTTTGGTAATGGAGCAAAATCAAACAATTAAATATAAAATATACCACCTATAGAATGGAAAAGCGGATATTAATTAGTTTAAGATTATTATTTTGATAAATAATCATTTCTTATCCAATACAAGGTCATAATAATTTTATTTTATACATAAATTCTTGGCAACTCAACTGAAATACCAATTTAATTAAATTCAATAGGCTTTCCTCTAAAACCTGACTTTATTATTGGATTAATCCAATACCCATATTTAATTGAGTTATTTTAACAAAATTAATTAATTAATTCTTATTTTAAAGACGTAGATGTTATTAATAAATTAATATCAAATCCTTATTATTCTACTATTTTAATTATTTTAAATATTTATTTTATTTTATTACGTTCTGTTTTATTTTATTCAAATAAAATATCAGTATCGTTAATTAAACTTATATTAATTGTTTATATCTTTCCTATTATTAATTCTCGAAAATTTTAAATTGTTTATTAATACCAATTTATGTCATCTTTCAGCAAAGGTTAATTCTCACAAATTTCGTAATAATAGCATTCTATATCAAATAATACCTTTATAATGAATCATTTAATAAAAAATTAAAAAAAAGTTACATCTATATTTTTTTATAATTAAGCTAAAAATTATGGTATTTTTAAACAATCAATTAACTTTGTATTATATAAGAGTTAATTTAAAAACGCATTAATATCTTTTTTGACATAAATTTTAGGCTTTCCATCACATCTTACAATAAAATCCCAACTTTCTATATTTTTTTTTGTTAATATATTAACTTAAAATATTATTTATTACATTGTTTTCTGTTTACTTCTATCAATTCTTTTTTATATTCATTAACTTTTATTTTCCAATCTTAATTTTAATTAATTTATTCAATTTATAATTTTTTTTGTTCCTCTAACATATAATCCAACTCACTTTATTTTTTTATATTTTCAATTCCTTTTTTAATATTATAAATAAAATTAATATATATTTACTTAATCTTTCTTCTTCTTACAATTTTTCACTTAAATCCATTTCTTATTAAAGTTTTTATAAAACCTTAATTTCTTTAAAAATAATTCATTTAAATAAAAAAATATAATCTTAAAAAAGTAAAACTTTTTTGTTATTTATCATTTAAACTTTTCTTCTTAGTTTTCTTTTTGTCAAAACTTTTCGATTATTAATAATTTTTAATACTTAAAGATTTTTCTTTTGATAAACTTTTAGAATCTTTATATTTATTTTAATCTTTATTTTTTTTTTAACTTTTATAACTTTAATTTTTAATTAATTTTCATTTTTTTATAAATTATTTTATTATTCAATCTTAAAATTTTCTGAAATAGATTAACTTAATGAAAGAACTTATGTTTGTTATTAAATATTCTTTTGAGATGATTTTTTTATATTTGTTTCTTCAAAACCTAATTATTAACTTTTTTATTATAAGTTTTAATCTTTTTTTAATCTGATTCTGAAATTTATTTTATGGATTTTTACTATGAATTCTTACGATCTTTTGAATTTGATCTTGAAGTTATTATACGAAATGAGTTGTTTTTTTCAGTTATGATACGTTTATCTTTTATTATTTTCTTATTTTTTATATAATAAATAAAATATTTTTTTATTTAATAAAATTACCATTTATAAATCATTTTTTTTATTTTAATAATTATTTATCATTTTTTATTTTAATAATAATATATTTAAAATAATATGTGCAATAAACTATAAAAAAAAGAATTTATATTAGACAAATTATTTTTAAATTAATTTCCTAAAAATTAAAATTTAATTCATTTTTTTTTAAAAAAAATATATATTTTTAATATAATTGAGGATAAAATTCTTTAGTTATTTATGAATAAATTCCTTTTTAGTAATTATAATATAACTTTTTTGTTATTAATTTTTGAAAATAACATAATATTTTAGTTATTAACAAATAGAAAAGTTGATTTTATTAAAAGAAGTATTTTTCTTATTATATAAATTTGAATTAAAAGATTAACTATTTTTTTTTTTCGCATTTCTATAAATTTTTATTTGATATTTTTATTAATTTTGAATTAAATTAAAATATATATTTTTTTTATTTTTCTTTTAAAGCTTATTCATTTTCCTTTAACTTATTAAATTCCTTTAAAAAAATTAATAAAAAACTTAATAAAAGTCTAATTTTAGAATATTCTGTTTATTAACCTTCGTAATAATTTAAATTATTTTTACAAATTCTTTCTCAGTATTTTTTTTATTTTTTCGAAAGATCATTTAGTATCAAACAATATAACTTATAATAAATTTAAAATAAAGTATAACTAATTTATTCTTTTTTTATTTTTTATAATATCTTTTATTATATTTTTATAATTTATTCTGTTTAATATTCTAACATTTACTTTTATATTATTTTTTTATTTTTTAGTATATTTTTATTTTTTCTTAAAGTTTTTATAATTCGATTTCAGAATTCTTTCATATTAATTCTTATTTATAAAAAATTCACTTAATTAATTTCTTATTTAAATATTACTTTATGTAGAATTGGTATATACTTATGACTTTTTTTTGATTTTAATTACTTTTATTCATAAATTTTTTTTTTATTCAAAAGTAAATATTTTTTATTTGACTTAACAATATTACTTCCACTATTATTTGATGATAAACTTTATTAGCTCTTTGAACTATTTGCATTTATTTAAAAAGATATTAAGTTTTAATTTCATCTATTTTTTTTTATCTCTAAATAATATTTTAAGAATAAATTAAATCTTACTTTATACTTTAATTAATTTACTAAATTATAATAATTTGAAACTTAATTATTTTTTTTCTAAAAACTTTTAATAAATTTTAGGATTTAGAATTTATTTATTTTATATTATTTTTTGTTTAACTTTTTATTTTTATTAGCCTAAACTAAATAAAATACTATTTTTTAAATATCATAGTTTAGTTTTATTGATGAGTTAAAAAAAAGAAAAATAACCTATAAAAAATTATTAACTATAATAAAAAATTAAATATTACTTTAAAAAAATTAATTATTTATTAATTATTAAATTTAAAATCATTAATCAATTAAAATTTTAAAAATATGTTATTATTTAATATTATGAAAGTCTTATTTTATATAATACATATATTATTTTATTCAAAATAATAATAATAATATATTTTTTTTATTAATTGTAAATTAATTCGATTGTCTAAAAAACATAACTATAATATTATAGTAATATAAAAATTTATAAATATTTTAATTTTAAATAAATTTAAGTATGTTAATGCAACAAAATAAATAATTTAAAATAACTACAAATATATTTAAAATATAATTAATTTAAAATATCAAATTAAAATCGGTATAAAAATAAGTATAAATATTTATATATATGTATAGTATTAATTAAAATAAAAAAATTTAAAATTATATTTATAAAATTTAAAATATTTATAAAGATAATAATTTAAAAAAGTATATATGAAGAATAATATAAAAAATTTGATATACTTAATTATATATAATAAAATATTGATAAAGTTAATATTCTTTTTAACCTAAATATAAAATTAAAATTTAAACTAAATATTATTATAATACATTTCTTAAGCATTTTCCAATAATAATATTTAAATGAATGAATTTTAATAAATTACCTTAAAAATAAAAAAAAATATTTATATTGCTTATTTTCAATTGAATAGGTTTAAATTACATTTTTTTAAAAAACAGGCAAATAATATCAAATATTAATATTTTATTTTTTCAGATATATTAATAAAATTTAAAGTAAAGTAAAAAGTACCACTTTAACAAAAAAGTTTTAATATATATATAATATTGAAATTTAAAAAAAAAATATTAATATATATTATAAATTTATTTTTAATTAATAAAAAATATTAAAGATAATTATATATCAGTATTAAATAAAAGAATAGTATTAAAATTTGGTATTAATAATTTATACAATAATAAATTTATTATTATAATATATTATTGTATAAACTAAATTTGAATATCTATTTTCATTTATTCATTTACTAATTTAATCATAAAATATAGAAAATATTTAAGAATAGAAAATAGAAAGATAATGAAATTATAATTTTTATTAAGCAAATATAAGTTATGTTTTATAAGAAAAAATTAATTTTTTTTAAAAGTAATTGAAATAGTTAAAATTAATGATTTTATATTTTTTATTTAATTTTAATAAGATTAGTATTTATTTTATATATATATATATATATTTTTTAATAATTAAAAATATAATAAATATAATATAAAATAAATTTAATACATTAAAAAAATATTGTATTAAATTTAACTTGATTAAAATAATAAAATTTTAATCATTAATTGTATAAATAATTAATAGTAATAAATAGTATTAAAGTTACTAAAAATTACTAATATGCTTTTATAACCTTTTTTACAATAATTTAAATTACTATTAGTTATTTTTAGATATATGTAATTTAAAATTAAAATTATAAAGAACGGATTTTTTTATTTAAATAACATATATAAAAATAACTATAATTAATCTAAAATAAAATAATTTAAAAAATTTTAAATTATTTTTATTAAAAAAGTAATTATATTTCATATGTAGATATAAAAATATTTTATATATGTTAACTAAAATAAATGTTTATTTAAATCAATTTTTTTATTTTATTTTTTAAGAGTCCTTTTTTTAATATATAAGGCGATAAAAATTATAATAAAATAAAATAAATAATGATATTTAATTATTAATTTTTTAATTTTATCAAAAAAGTATTTTCTATTATTATTTTTGTTAAATATAATAGATAAAATAACGAAATCATATATAATTTATTAATTTATTTTTTTAATTTCTTTAAAAATATAATTATATTTTATAATTATTTAAATTATATTTTCCTCTTAGATATTTAAAAAATAAAGAAGCAAAAGAATAAATTTTTATTTAAATGAAAGAAGAAACAATATAATAATTAAAAGAATCTCTTAATTTAAAAGATGATTGTTAAACAGAAAATAGTATTTTTTATTTATAAATTTTGATATAAAAATAAAAAAATAAAAAATAAAAAAAAATGAAAAAAACAATTCAATAAAAACACAAAAAAATGAATAAATTTATTATATTCTTTAAAATAAAATGAAATTTTATTCAATATAAAAATAAAAATAATAAAAAAACTTCAATTAAACTCTACAATCATAAAATATATATAAATTTTAATAAATTTATATATATTTTATATCACTTGAAAATAAAAAATACTTATGTAATTTTTATAGATTTCAAGATTAGTTATTTTAATTTTGTTATATATTTTAAAATATATATATATATATATATATATATTATAAATTCTAATTTTTTATATTGATAAAATCATAAATATTTTTTTAATATTTATTAAAAAAAAAAGATTTAAGTGAAACAACTCCAGAATTAAATAAAAAAAATTCACAATCAACTTAAAAAGTAATTTAAAAATCTAAAAAAAGTACATCTAAATTATAAAATGCATATCAAAGTTCTCTAAAAGCCGCAAACAGTATTGATAGTACACAATCTCCTTTATAATCTATATTTTCTTAAACTTCTTAAACATTAAACAGTTAATAAGAATTATAGAGAAGAGTTAAATTTACTTAATAAGAAGATGATATAATAATGAGCCATACAGAAAAATATGGTAAATAATGGTCAGAAATTGCCAAAAAGCTTAAAGGAAGAAACGAAGTGATGATAAGAAATAGATATTATTTAAAACTAAGGCAAATAAATAAATAAAAAGAATAGAGTCAATAATAAACTGAATAATAAGATAAATAAAAATCTTTTTAATTAGAAAAAAATTAAATTTAATAAGATGAATTAAAAAAAACGACTAATAATAAATGATAAAAATATAAAAAGAGAATTATATTTATAAACAAGGTTTTGAAAAAGAAATTTCTTTAATTGAATAAAATTTCAATTTAGATTTAGAAAATTAGAATTTAATCGATGAAGAAATAATACAATATAATAATAACAATGAATCTTTCAATAATTAATTTTAATAAGATTCTAATAAATAAAATAAAATAAAAAATATCTTTTATTTGCAATAATAAGTCTAAATGATAGAAAATATACTAAATTAATGTAAATCTGAAATAATAAAAGAATTTCAGGAAAGAAAAAATTATATTTAAACTAAATAAAAACAATAAATTATTAATACTTTCGAAAACGAAATTAATATTCCTGAAAATAAATTTATTTTTGATGAAGAACAAGAATTTAAAATCAATCATTTTCCAAATGAAAATGATAATTTTAATTTAAACTTTATTAGGAATAATGATACTTCAAAATCTTTTAATCCTAACTTTTATAATACTATTTAAAAATACAATTAATTATAAAATAATGAATTCTATTTTCAAACGAACTTAGAATTATAATAAAAATAAAATATATTTGAAAATTTTAATTTACCGCCAAATTTTGAAGTCGAAAATAATATTTAATTTAATTAATTTTAATCTGAAAAATAAATTAATTTAAATGATAATAATAATCGTTTGAATGATGCTGCTGATATTTAAATGTATAATTAAAACACTAACAATCTAAGCTTTTATGAACAATTACTTGCTGAAGATGATATTTGAGTTTATATCAAAATATTTATAATTATTAATTTATTCGAAAAAAATATATTCGTATTATAATAATCTATGCCTTAATATAAAATTAAATTAAAAAAATATAAACCTAAATTTTTATAAAACAAAAAAAATATTTCCATATATAAATAATTATTATTTAATATTTTTATATTTTATTTTATTATACAATTTTTAATATTTATTATGTGATTGAAAAATAATTTTTAAATTAGAAAAAAAAAATTTTAATAAATAAAACTTATATAATTTTCTAAATAAATATTTTTTAGTTTAAATTATATAAAATAATTATAAAATTTAATTTTATTTCTTATTATCATTTATACATATGTTATTAAAAATTAGATAAATATTATTTTAAGTTTAATTTATTTAATAAATAAATTATTTTGTCTAAAATTTATATATAAAAAAATGCATCGACCGGGAATCGAACCCGGGTCAAAGCGATGGCAACGCTCTATTCTACCATTAAACCATCGATGCTTTATAATAACTTAATAATTAATTTTTGAAATAAATATAATTAAAATATATATATAATAATTATTTATATTTAATTTTCTCAAATTAAATTAGTATATATTTTTATGGAATAAAAATAAAATAATTATTATTCATTTTCATTTAATTTTTTTAATTATACATTTTTTTTTTAACTTATAACTATAAATTATTATTGAAAAATAATAATAAACTATTGTCTATTTACTAATATAAATTCTTATTTATTAATTTTTTTTTCTTTGAATTGTTTATTTATTTTTTCATTTGATTATATTATCTTATATTTTTTATTTAATGTTTTTATTAGATAATATACATTTCATACTACACAAATTATAAATCATAATTTTTTATTATTAAATATATTAATTCATATAAATAAAATACTTAATCTAAATGAAATTCAGAAAATTTAGAAAATAAATAAAAATTGTATATAATAAATATAAATAATTATAATGAAAATAAAATAAATAATTTTTTAAATTTAAATAAAATATGAATTTAATATTTTGTTAAATAAATATAATATTGCTATTTTACTTTAATATGATCAAATTAATATTTTAAAGTTTTTTGTTTATTATTTAAAGCAATTATAAATTTATTTATTTAATTTTATTTACTCTAATTTGTTTATAATTTTATTAAAAGTTATATATTTATATATTATTATTTTTTTAATTAAATTTTTTAAGCAATAAATTAAAATTCACTAAAAAAAAAAAATTAAATTTTAATATTTACAAAAAAAAATATATTAAAATTGATAAAAATTAAAAATAAAATATAAATGGATGTTACATTCAAGACTATTTAAAATAATAATTAAATAAAATAATAGTAAGTTAATTAGTCTATAGAAGATAAAACAATAAAAAAAGAATTTAATACAGAAAACTTTATAAATTAACTATTGTAAAAAAACTTAAATAAATTCTATCATTATCAAAAAAAAATTAAGAAATTTATATTTGACAAACGACTAAGCATTCAAAAAGTTTTCTTTGAAAACTAATATTAGATTCCTAACTGAGTAAAAAATAAAACATACTATATTATTAATATATTTAAATAAAAAAAGAAATTATAGTATTTATATAAATGAGTAAAATAAAGGATAATATATAACATGTCTGAGCTATTACATATAATATAATTATTCAAACTTATTAAGTAAAAAAAAAAAAAATATTTTTTATTATCAATTAAAAAAAAAAAAATAGTAAAATTATAAGAACTAATAAAACAAGTAAAAGATCAAATATTAATAGGTTCAGAAAAATAAATAAATAAAGAAAATACAAAAATACGAATAATAAACCGTACAAATTAATAAATTACAATTTAAAAAAATGAATCATCAAATAAAAAAAATATAACAGTCTTGGAAAAAACTTTAGCATTAAACAAAAATATAATTTAAAATAATAATAGAGACTAAAATATGACTTAAATATTTTAAAATTAAAAAAAGTAAACTTTGAGTAGTTATAAGAAATAGAATAAAATAATAGTAATAAAAATAGTAATAGTAGTAGCTAAAAATTATAAATATATCAAGAAGAAAGTGACATTTTTAAAAATCTAGAACTCGTTTTTGATTCGAATTAATTTTTAGCCTAAGTTATAGAAAATAATTATTTTAATCGTCAAAAAGTTATTGCTAGTGAAATTTTAGATAATGGATTTCTAAATGAACCTGTAACTCTAGAATAAGCAGAAGAAAAATATGCACAAGAAATAATTGAACAAGAGTAAAATATGCTACGATCATTAAAAAGTTGTACTAAACAAATTCAATTTGAATTATAAAATGTTAATGACGAATATAATACGACTAAAATAAGTATTAAGAAAAATTAACAAACACCATCAAGAAAAATGCTTTCTATCAAAAAAAATAATAATAATAATACATTTTTTTTTAAATCTGGAATTAAAAAATTTAATAATAATCAATAAACAACTATTTAAAAGTATGTTTCTCTTTAAAACAATAAGAGTGACTCTTAAAATAAAGATGAATATATTTTAGAATAATAAGAACCTTTTATTGATTAAAAAAGTTTACTTTTATTAACTTAAACTTAAACTTGTGATAATAATAATATTAATGATTGTATGTGCGGTAAGCATTTTCTACATATAGAGTTTTTAAATTAAAATGATATTGATGAAATGTAAAATATATTTAAGAAAAACAATAAACATGAAGATGAAAGTTTAAATTAATCCTAACTCAGTAATCTTTTAATAGAAAATTATTAAACTAAAAATAATGATGAAAATAGTTCATAATCTTATAAAAAAGATATTAACTCATATTCTAATGGTTTATCGGTTAAATCTTAAAATAGTAGTGAGGCTTCAAAAATAAGTAAAGGTTAAGATAATAAAAAATATAAAGAGATTTAAAAAAATGATTTTTTAGAAACTATTATCGAAGGTTAAACTAGCATTAATTTTCCTTATAGTAAATCTTAAGGATAATATTTAATAGATTAAAATGATGACAATATTTATTTTGATGATTTTACTGATTATGTTGGATTTAATTAAAATTTATAATTAAATAATGAAGCGAATATGTTAAAAAAGTATTTTTATTAATTTTTTTTATTATATTTTTAATTTTTTAAACAGTATTTTATTTGAAAAATTAAAAACTAATTCATTTATTGATCTTTAAAAAAACTTTAAAATATCTAATTAAAATAAAGCTAGAATATTTTATAATTTATTATTTTTACATTCCTCTTAATAAATACATATTAGTTAAAAAAATATTTTATAATTTGATCCAGTTATTATTTAATAATATATGGAAAATAAATAATGATTAATTTGATTATAATTATGTAAATAAAAATTTATAAATATAATTACTTATTTTATTTTGTTTGTAAATAAAATTATTAAAAAAAAAATATTGGTTTTTTTAAATAATAATTATAATAAAAATTTTTAGGATTAATATTATAATATTATAAAATATAAAAAATATATAAAAAATAAAATAATTTAAAAATGAAATAAAATAAAAAATAAGATTTATTAAAAATTTATTTATATTAATTAAATAATTTATATTTGAACAAAAATAATATTAATATAATTATATATATTATTATATTTATTATAAAAATTATTATAATTATTATAATTATTATAATTATTATAATTATTATAATTGTTATAATTATTATAATTATAATTATTATAATTATTATAATTATTATAATTGTTATAATTATTATAATTATTATTATTATTATTATTATTATTATTATTATTTTTTTATTAAGATTTTAATAATATATTTTATATAATTAATACATATTTTTTTTATTATTAATAATTTAAATTTTTATTTATATTATAAGGTATTTTAATTATTTTATATTATAAAATTTCATTAATTTTTTTTTAAAAAAAATAATTTTATAATGTTTATGTATTTTTAATTAAAAAAAATTATTTTAAATTTAATTTAAAAATAAATTAAAAAACCTTTTAATATATTCATTTGAATAATTTATTTTAATAACTTAGTTTAAAACAATTTATATTTTACTTAATTTTTTTAATTTTTTATTTTAATATTTATTTCATTAATTTAATAAGTTGCATATATTTTTTTATTTTAGTACGTATTAAAATTAAAAATAAATATTATAATTTACAAAATTTTTATAATAATTTTGAAATTTTTTATTTAAATTTATAATAATTTAGTTTTAGTCATTTTATTATAAATAAATTTTTATTTTTATTTAAAATTTTATTTATTAATAATAATATAATTAATTTTTATTAATAAATATTATAAATAAAAACTATATATTAATTAAAATTAATTTTTAAATAAATTATATATTTTTATAAAAAATATTTAATTTAAAATTAATATTTTTTACTGATTTTAAATAAAATATAGACTCTTAATTTTTTTGATATTTTTAAATATAAATAAAAAGTTGATATAAATATATATATAATAGTAAAATTAAAATATAAATTAAATAATAAATAAATTTGATATAAAAAAAAATAACATTAAAAATATAAAATAAAAATGGAAAAAAAAAAAGATAAATAAGAAATAAAAGATTCATAAAGGTAAAATCAATAGTATAAAAATTCTCGAGGCACGAATCTTAAAATAAAATATTTAGAAAAAAAAATAATAAGAAACGAATAAGATAATAACTTCAATTTATAAACATGCTTCAAACATTAAAACATTCCTCAAATAGAAGGCTATGAAAGAAATTCTGAAGATTATTATTATGATAGTTATTCACATTTTAATATCCATGAAGAAATGTTAAAAGATAAAGTAAGAACAAGATGTTATATGAATTCCATAATAAAAAACAAACATTTATTTGAAAATAAAATTGTATTAGATATAGGTTGTGGGACAGGAATTTTAAGTATTTTTGCTGCCCAAGCAGGTGCTAAGCATGTTTATGGAGTCGAAAATGCAAACATAGCTAAACATGCAAGAAAAATAATCGAAAAAAATAATTTAAATCATAAAATTACTATAATTTAAGGTAAAATAGAAGAAGTAGAATTACCTGTACAAAAAGTAGATATTATAATTTCTGAATGGATTGGATATTTTCTTTTATATGAATCTATGTTAGATTGTATATTAGATGCCAGAGATAAATATTTAAACTAAAACGGTCTTATGTTTCCTGATAAAGTACTTTTTTTTAATTTAAAAAAATAAATATTATATATATATATTTTATCACTTTGTTATGAATATTTTTTTTTTTTTTTTTCTGTAAATTTTTTTTAAGAAAATATATCAACAAAAATAAAAGCATTTAATTAAAAATTTGTTCTGCATTTTATTTTTGTTGATTAATAAAAAAACACAAAGTAAGAAATATTTATTTAATAAAAAAATAGGCAATTATGTGTGTTTCTAGTTTTTAAGACGATAGTTTATATGAATAAAGGTTTAATTTTTGGAATAATGTATATAATGTGGATATGTCTTGTATTAAATAATGGGTTTTTAAAGAACCTTTAGTTGAGTATAAAAAATAGACTATTAAATATAAATATATTATATATAAATATATAAAAAATAAAAGAATAATAGAAGAACAATGCATAAATAGTAGTTAATGTGATTTCAAAGAATTTGATTTATATACAGTAAAGAAATCTGATTTAGATTTTGTTTCTAATTATTCTATAAATATTAGAAATGATTCATTTGTATAAGGATTAGTAGTTTGGTGGGAAGTCCATTTTTAACACGGACATACTCCATTAAAAATATCTAGTAGTCCTTTCAATACAGTAACACATTGGAAGCAAACAATATTTTTTATTAATGAAGAAAAGAACTTTCTTTAAGTTTTTAAAGGAAATATTTTAAAAGGAAAAATTGCAGTATAAAAAAATGAAAATAATATCAGAGATTTAGATATAAAAATTTAATTTAAATTAAATAATTAATATATTGAATATGATAAATCATTTGTATATAAATTGAATTGAGTTATTTATTTTTAAATAAAAAAAAATTTTCATTCTTATTTTTTTCGGGTTTTTTTTACCATTAATAAGGCCAATGTACTCTATATTTCTCTTCCATTACTTAAGCAGGTTTCGGACATTCTAAATAAGGATCTTCTTTTAATTATTTTTAAGTTGGTTTTTCATCTAAATAATAAGATCTATTATATTTAAATACTGTTGGACTTCTATTTATTTAATATTTTTTATCATATTAATCATATATTTCAAAAGGCCCAAATTTATTAAGTATTTTTTATTCATATGCAATATCTTTTGATCTTTTTTCAATCTTAATTAAAAAATAAATAAATATAAAAAAAAAAAAAAAAAAACTAAAAATACTTCCTATAAAAGCCATTTTTTAAATTTATGAAAATCAGCATATTTTGAACAATTTAATCTAAACATATGAGGTTCATCTTATTCCCAAAATTCTTCAGGAGATGGATGCATTTATTTTCTTTTTTTTATTCTAACATGTTCTTAATGCTTTTATTTGAAAAAAAAAAAACATATACAAAATAATTTAAAAAGAAAAAAATAATATATATAATCATACATCATAATCATAATCTTTTAAATTTTCTCCATGATAAGCAGTCGTTGCTTTATAGTCATATAGTTAATAAGTGTCTAAATTAGTATCTTAAAAATGATATTCTCTTGTAGAAAGATTTTCATTATATAAAGATTAGGCTCCTTATCCAAAAGCCTTTTATATTTTTATCAATTGAGTATTTTTTTATTTATTTTTTACATGTTATAATAAACGAGGTGATATTGGTATTTTACAAACTACAGGTGCTGCGTGTTTATGTACTTTATAAATCACATTATCATATGATCTCCATGCATTAAATTCAGATATATCTAAATCAAATAAAGGACGATCATAAATTCTTCTTTTTCTTCGAGGAAGAAGTTCTCTTGGATTAGCATTTTTTAATTTTTCTTCCTTTTCTTTTATATTTTCGAGAACTTGTTAAACTTTTTTGGTGTAATCTTTATATTGTTCAAAATTGTAGTTTATTTTATGAATATATAACTTTTTTTCGTTATCTTTTGTATTTTATTAATCGCTATTATTATTATTATTGTTATTGTTATTGCTACTATTTTAAGAAGAATAGAAAAAAAATTGCTTATTGTGAATTATTAAATTAAAACTTTAAATAAAAAACCTATTTTTTAACATGTTTTTTTACAATTTGAATAAAAAAAATATATATTTTTAAGAAGAAAGATATTTTATGATAAAAAGAAATTATTAAAAAAAAACATAAAAATTTATATTAATCTAAATTTGATTTTTTTTTTTTTAGTAATACTATATTTTTAAAAAAATAAAAAACATTAAACTTCTTCTCAAATAAAACTTTCTTATTCATAATTATGCCTATATTTTTTAACCTTATCCAACGAAAAATTCCTTTTTAAAGTATATTAAAATATCCCTAATAAACCAAAAGCTTTTCTAGTATTATCTATTCTTTTTTCGTTTTTTTTTGTTTGATTTCTTAATTAATCCTCATAATAATAAAACTTATCCATTAAATTAAAAAATATAGTCGCCACCCCTATCAAATCACTCTAACTATACAAAAATATTGTTAATAATAAATCATAATTAACAAAATTAATTTCCAAAAATAATCCAATATAAAATAAAAAGCTCAAATCTTAAACAGTATATCACAAACTATTAATTTTTTTATCAGGACTATAAGTATTCATCATTATTTTAATCTCATATTCCATATATAAGACTAATGTATATCCCATTTAGTATTTTTTAATAAACAAAATCTTATATTTATATTTTTTTCCTCTAAAGGATATATTTACCTATTTATTTAGGCGCTTTTCCTTCGAATTTATATAAAAAATAATTCAGTATTTAATGTTTTAAATAATATTGAATATTTTTTAAAAAACTAAATCATAAGATTATACCCGTTATTGATATAAATAAAGAATCAAAATTTCTACAGGAATATATTAATTTTATGATATTGACTTTATGTTTCCAAACTAATAATTTAAAGTTAAACAATTTATTAGTTTTTATAAAATCAATTGAAATTTAATAAATTAATTATAATACTCCAGACACAAAAAAAAAAGGGATTTAAAATTTTTGAAAATTTCTAAATCAGATTTAAAGTAAAAAAAAAAAAAAATTATGTCTACTGGTTTTTATAATTTATCAGACATTAATTATTTATTTCTATTTTTGTATTTTTTAAAAGAAATTATATATTTATTCATTGAATGTTTATAAATTAAATCTTTATAAAACTATGTTTGATTTTGGGCATTACTTTAACAATTTATAATACTAATCTATAATTTAATTCTTGATTTTAAAATATCATATAAATTAATAATTTGGAATTCTTTAAAATTAATACACTAATATTTATCATTCATTCATTCGTTATTTATTTTTTTATAATAAAATTAGTTTTTAACTTAAGTTTATTAATAAGATTTTTTTTAAAAGGAAATAAAAATTATATATTTCTAATTAATTTTTTAAAAATAATATGTATTATTATTTTAATATATTCTTTCAACAATTATAATATTAAATTATTAAAATTAGTTAAGATTTAAAAATAAAAAAATAATATATATATATATATATATATATATATATATATATATATATATATATATATATTTTTATAAAATTATTTTAAATATTTTTTAATTAATTAAAGTTTTATTTTTTAATAAATTTACACTTTAATATTCAAATTTTATTTTTATTAATATCAAATTCACTTAATCTATATTAATTTATATATAAAAAATTATGTTATTAATTTATATTTTATTACTTTTTATTAACATATTTTATTAAAATATAAAAATGAAAAAATATTCTCCCTAACAAACTAAAAGAAGTATAAAGGAAATAATATCGTAAAGGTAAAAAAAATAAAATAACAAAAAGTAACAAAAAATAAGTGACAAATTATATGAAGAAAAAGTTCATTTACCAATACCTTTAGATGATTATAAATAAGAAGATATTATAGAAGAACAAATATACAAATAATATATTCAAAAATAAAAATAAAAATAAAAATAAGAAGTATAAAGTAAATTATAAAAAGAAATCGAAGAAAATATAGAAATAATAACAAATAAGGAAAATCCCTATATATAAAATGAAACGAATTTTATTTTTAATAATCCAGTATAAGTAAAAATACAATAACAAGATGATTTTTAAAATAAACCTTAAAAGCCTAAAAATAAATAAAAACTTAACAAAAATATTCAAAACAATTAAGAAGAAGAATAAAAACAAATAGAGAGTTTTGTTTCTTCTTTAAATTATTTAAAAGAAAATAGTATAAATTAATATTAATAATAAGAAGAAAATAGTTAATAAATATAAAATATAAAACAAATAAACTATTTAGATTAGAATTTAACAAATTAACATAAATAAGCAAATACAGTATTTTAAAAAATGAAATTTTAAGATAATTTCGAATAAAAAGAAGAAATATTAACTGATAAATAAAATTACCTAAAAAATAATCAAGAAATCAAATAATAAAATAGTAATAATAATGATGAATTTAAAATAAAATAATTAAAAGAAAAATAGATTTAATTTATAAAATAAAAAGATAATGAAAGGTAACATGAAAAATCATAAAAAGAAATATAAAATAACAATCAAGAAATAGAAAAAAAAAATATTAATAATGACGAATATTAAAAATAATAATTAGAAATTTTAAAAATAAAATAAAGCCAATTAATAAAATAAAAAGCCGAAGAAAGATATTATGAAAAAATATAGTAGTTATAAAAAGAAAAAATAATAAATCAAAACGATTTAAATAATATGAAATAATAATTCGGAAATTTAAAAAAAGAATGCAGTTAATTAAAAAAAGAAGATTCTTAAAAAAATCTAGATAATGAATATTAGTATTAAATTAAATCAAATAGAAGCATTGAATAAGAAGATTTTTTAAAAAGATCAATAAAAAATATAGATGAGGAATAAATACAAAAAAATTCGAAAATTGACGATGAAGAAATAAAAAAATCAACTTTTTAAACTAAAAATAATTCTATTTTTTCTAAAAATAGTTCCAGTATATTCAAAATCAGATAAGAAAATGTTCCTAATTTATATTCTGTAAATATGAATGAAAGGAGAAAATTTTTGGAATAAAATTAAGATTCTAAAAGTACAGTTTTGAGCAAGTTTAAATAAAAACTTTAAAATAATATAATTGTTGATTAATAGATTAATAATAAAGAATTAAAAAAAAAATGTTTTTAAATAATTTTTTTATATTTTTATTTTTTATACTTATAAAAAAATAATAAAAAACTAAATAGAAATAAAAAGAAATCTAATAATTAGAAAAAATAAATAAGAAAGAAGTTTAATTATAAAATGAAATAATGTAAATACATTTTGTAAATATAGAAAAAATATCAGAAATAGAAAAAAAATACTAAATAAATTCCAATATTGAATCTTTAGAATAATTGAAAAAACAAGAATCACCCTAATTTAGAATTGCTACCTCTTTTTCAAATAAATCTGCTTTTTCTAATAAATCAATGATAAAAAATAAAAATAAAAATTCCAAAATAAAACCTATATAAGGTAAAATAAAAATTAATAAATGGCATTTTTTTTAATAAAAAAAATAACTAAAGAAATAGAAAATGAAGAAGATATAGAAAATTCATTATAAAATATAAACAATATATTAGTTGATAAAAAATAAAAAATAAATCAATTAGAATTAGAAAGTGTTCCAAAATATCCTTTAATAACAAAAGAATTATTAAAATATCCAATAATATTATAATAAAATCCTTTCAATATATATTTAAATTGTAAAGAAAAATAATATATTGAAGAATAAAAATCTAGATGTGATATCTCTTTAAGAGATAATAAAAATTAAGTTCATAATACAAAAATTAGTAACTTTAGACACTCATCGAATAAATTAGTATTTAATTGTAGTAATTAAAATACTATTTTTTCTGAAAAAATAAATAAATCATTTGTTTCTTAAAAAACTGACTATAAAGATAATTAATCTTAGGTCTCTAAGAAAAGCTTTATTTTACCAAAGTAATAAGTAATAAAAGAAGAAAATAAATAAATATAAGAAGAGTAGAAATTAATCTAAAAAGAAGAAGAAACAAATGCAAAAAAAACCCCTAATATATAACAAGAATTTAATAAAAGTATTAATTCTGAATAAATAAAAGAAAAAGTAAAATAATAATAATTTGAAATCGAAAACAAAATAAAATAATCTTTAGATGCAATTAATTTTGCTGAAAGATAAATGGCCTAAATACAATAAGAAGAATTTTAAAAGAAAAAATAAATTTTAATTAATGATAACATTAATAATATTAGAAAAACTCCTAATTAATAAATAAATAAATAAGAAAATAATAATAATAAAAAGATAATTTTTATACTTAAAAGTATTTAAATAAATAACAATAAAATGAATAATAAAATATTCAAGGCAGTTAAAATCATAAAAATTTTCAAAAAGAAAAATTAAATTTCAGAAAATAACGAATTCTAAGGAGACATTAAAATTAATAAAAATATAAATGTATAAAAGCTTTTACTATCTTGAAAAAAAAAAAAATCTATTAATCAATGAATCTATATAAAAAAAAAAAAACTATTTATAAAAAAGTTAAATTAATTTTTTTTTATAAAAATAATAAAGAATATAAATTTGTATAAAACTAAAAAAATAATTAAATTAAAACAAAACAAAAAAAACATAAAATAATGGCCAAAGGTTTAAGATCAAAAGTAAAGAGAAGATGGAGAACATTAAGAAGAAAAGTAGTAGATGAATTAAAAACAAAACCCGATATAGAAGAATTACATAATAAAATAAAAGCTTCTATAAATGGATATGAATATAGAATACAAGAAAAGCCTAACGCATTTAAAAATC